TGAGCTAAATTAAAGATAGTAGGTCAATTATAACTGTGAATTTCCTGGGCCTTGTATTTTACCCTTATCTTTCTTATGAAAGTTTAACCTTATGACCAGCCAATCAATGTATAGGATTGTTACAACAAAGTCCTCTCATTTACTAAGAGTGTTTTCATGAAGCTCTCAGAACAGTCTGTCAGACCTTTATGGTCCCCATTAGCACAGCCGTTAATGTATTTATCTTAACATCATTTCTGTGAGATAGGGAAGTCTTGTTATCCCCATTTTACACATGGCGGAGCTAAGGCACAGACTAAGGGCTCAGTCTTGCAAAGTGCTGAGTAACCTCACTTCCCACTGAAGATGGTTCTCAGTACCCCATAGGATCAAGTGCTAAATGGTTTGCCAAAGGTTGCACAAGAAGTGGACCAAAGAATTGAACTTGAGTCTCCTTATCATACTTGGACTCATTTCTAAGTAATGCAGGCTGTGTGTGTATGGAAGGGATGGGGTACTAAAGTGCGTGGGAGGCACAGATGCACCCAAGTTTTCAGGAATGGCTATTTTCTGACAGCAGGAGCTTCATGAAGCCAGGGGCAATCTGCTCTTGTCCCCCTGCCTGTGGACAGGCCTCATTGCTGACAAGCTATTTTGTGCATTTTCAATATAAATCAGAGATGGAAAGAATCCAGTGACCCTGAGGCAACAGTAATGGTCTCTCATCCCATGTCAATGCAGAATCCTAATCTGTGGATGACTGGGTACCATTATGGTTTATTCTGTTATTGCCTAGTACAAAACAGTCCTCAAATTATTGACAAGATGCTGTCAGAGCCATGACAATATGGGGCGACCGCTCCGGGCCTCACAGTCTGGGTCCCCAGAGCTTCAGTGTGCATGTGTCATGATTGGGGCACTAGGCAGGCCTGGGGGGTGGGGTTAGGGGGTTGGGAGGACAGACCATCCCGGGGGCTTAGCGGGGGGGAGAAGGGGAGTGGCGCTGGAAGCGGGGGTTGGGCCTGCACTCACCGGCGGGAAGAGATTTCTGCAGCACCTGCCCCTGCAGGCTGCTCCTGGGACTGTGCGGGGCTCAGCGAGGGGCCAATGGGGGGGGTCCAGTGCTGGCCCTGTGTGGGGTGGGCCGGTCAGGCCCCTGGCTGGCTTTACCCAGCTGTGGCACTTACACACACAGACACCTGAAGAACGTAACGCGGCCTCGGCCCTGAGCTCTGCTGGCGGCTTGAAGCTGCGCGTGTCCCTGAAGGGCCTGGGAGTCCCAGTAGTGAAGCTGGTCCCTCAGGGCAGCCCAAGGGAGTGGTTATGCCAATGTGGTGCGTCCTAACTGCAGCCACTGAAAGGGAATTGAGGTCTGCCCAGTCCCTGACCACGGGGTGCCCCGATCGTGCTGTGCAGTGGCTCTGCAGCAAGGCCCCTAACCCTGAGCACCAATCCTGCCCAGCTGCTCTGCCTCCACACCGCAGTGAGTCTGCGGCTGCAGACCAGGGGCGAGTCACACATCAAACCTGCAGGGGCTGCAGGGCCAGCAGCCCAGCTGGGCTCCCCCAGAACCAGGCTCCTCCTGAACCAGGTTCCCCAAAGCCGGGCTCCTCCTGAGCCAGAGCATCCCCAGCACGAGAACCTGGAAAGGGACTTCAGCACCTGTATAAGAAATGTTAAGGGGGGCCCACATAGACTAATTTGTCCTGGGCCCTGCACCACCCTAGGGATGGCCCTGGATGCTGTAGATTATTCATAGTTGTTATGGAGGTTGTATCCAATGTGTGCCATTGTAACAGAATCACTGCAGTTCTGCGATTGCTACTGTAACGATTTATCATAAATGTGTCACTGAAATAATTCAGGGATGTAACTGGAATACGCTTAAAAAGAACTAGCATAAATAGAGCAGCGCTGAGGGCTGAGAAACAATTCCCACTTTAAACAGTCCAGCCTTGGAGGTCCTGCCATGAAGGGTGCGCAAACCTTTCGCTGATTCCTGACTCTAGCTACTTTCCTAATGCAGTGAAACAACGCTAGTTTCAATATGAGAGAGCTCTGTTGTGTCCATTAGTTAGCTTTCCCTTAGTTCTAGCTAGCTTCCTTAATCTTCTTCCTAAAATTTTATCTTTATTCATTTATTTATACTTGGCTTGCCCACATTTGTGGGAGGGTTTTTTTTTTTTTTTGGCGGGGGGGGAGGTCTCCCCCATCTTTATTGTGTGGTAAGGCTCTGCTCCTCCCAGCTTAGGGCCTCTCCCTTTGTTTGAGTCTTTCTTTGTTTGATGCTTACTCACTAAGAAAAAGAAACAAAGATGTCCCCAATCCTGGGTTTTAAATCCTGCCAGACCTGTAGGAGATCTTTTCCCCTCAGTGATGGTTATTCCAGATGTCTCTTCTGTCTGGAGGGAGACCTACATTCTGTCAATTTGCAAGATCTGCATTGGATTCAGAAGCAGGTCCAAGAAACTGAGGGAGAATGGTATTAAGTAGCTTCCCTCATGTGTCCTCCAAGTCGGGGCCCAGCTACCCCCTTTTACAGCAGAGTTGACTAGTGAGGGTACCCCTTCAACTTCCTCTGTAGCTCCATTTGATAAGAATTAGGGTGACTAGATTTCCCGATAAAATCGGGACTGTTCCGATATTTAGTTGTTTGTCCTGTGTCCCGACCAACATACAGTTGGGGTGCCATTTGTCCCAACATTTTGCTTCGGTGGTACTCCAGCTTTTTTTTTTTTTGCTTGGGTGTCAAAAATCCTAGAGCCAGCACTGATGGGGGTGGGGTGAGCCTTTGGCTGTCCCCCAATGTGTCCTGATATTTTGTTCTTGTCATCTTGTCACCCTAGATAAGAGCCATGGAGCAGCCCCAGAGATTAGCTTAAAGGGCCCCCCAAAAAAGAAGAGACCTAAGTCCCCTGATGGGACTTTTGAAGAAAATGCCTAAAAATCTGAATATTACGCTTAAAATGCCTAAATATTGCCTAAAAATCAGTAAGGAGACCATCTGTCCTGGTATGGGTACCATTGAGGCTCCTAAACCCCCTGGTACCAAGCTTCCTGCACCGACCAAGATTACTGTTAGTGCTCTCTAGATTGAAAACTCTCTGGCAAGCAGCCACATTTGGTACTAACAGCATTACCTAGCTTGGATCTAGCCAGGCAGAAGGATTCTACCAACTTTAAGATGTAATTTATTTTCTTTTCAAAAAAAGTTTCAGCACCTTCTGAATATTCTGCTGTAATCAGATTACATTTTTTAACAAATGAACAAGAAACCAAATACCACGCCTTGACAGATGCAGATTTTCCCCAAATGTTTACAGTTCATTGTCAGATTTCTGCCCACAGTGGATTTCAAACTTCAGAGTTGATAGAATCTGTGAAATTAATGAAATGCTCAGGGGTTTTCTGTGTGTGTGTGTGGGGGGGGGAGGATATCTCAGGAACCCCTTGCTCAAATGGCCCCACATTTGGATTACTAACCCTATCCTGCCCTCCCAGAAGGCATAGCAAATTTCAAAACAATGTGTTTAAGACCACAGATATTAGAGCACTAAAGAAGAGTTATGAGTTTAACAAATAGGATGTCCCAACCTTAGCTAGAGGAGAGCTGGGTGCTCCATTAAAATAGTGTATGAAACTTGAGGGAGAAAAATGGAGGGGAGAGGCTGTACATATCCATCAGCAGCATAGCAGGCTCAGAGAGGTGTGAAGTGGCTCATTCATCTCAATGAGATGTTCTCAGCTGAAAGGGAATACCCAGTGGAGATGCATACGTCCTGAAACAATAGTTATGAGACATGGTAACTGCTCCATTTATGTCTGTAGGTGTTCTCTGCCACCCTCCCCAGTGCTGGAGAGTTTCTGATATGTGTCAGACATATCCAGTCTCAGCTCCGCATCCCAGCCTCAGCAGTGTGTTCTTGATGCATATGAACATGCCTCTTCTAAGCCACCTATAGGGGTAGGGCTTCCCCAGATCCTGATTCACATGGTGGGGGATAGGGAGAGGAGTTCAGACACCCCCAGAGATCTCTCCCCCAGAATCTAGCTCACATGAGGGGGTCAGGGAAGAGGGAACCAGGGGCCAACAGGTCCTGGCACTCACACAATGCGGCAGGGAATGGGATTCAGACGACCCCCAGTAAGGAGTGAACCCCAGATCCCACTTCATGGGTGGGTAGGGAGGTGCTCAGACTTCCCAGGTAGGCAAGCCTGCTCCAGATCCTGGTTCATGTGAGGGGAGGCAAGGATGGGGGAGATGACACACACTCCTATAGATGGGCAGATGCCCACAGATAGTAGCACACACATGGGAAAGGAATGTGGGTCTGACCCTATCCCTTTTCTTCACCACTACCTCTGTCACTTAACTCCATGTCACCCTTCCCAGTGTTCCGCACTTCCCTGTCACCTGATCTCCTAACTCTTCTTTCCCTATTCCTATCTACTTTTCCACCCCTAATCATCTTCCCCCACCAATAAACATTTTCTTGTGTAGTTTATTTTATTTTTTAAAAATAGTTTCAGCACCTTCTGAATATTCTGCTGTACTCAGATTAGATATAGTGAAAAGAGAAATCCCTTGTGATAGAGGCAGATTGGAGCAGTGTGCCTGGTTTATTTTTCTTCAGATTTCTGCTTTGGTTTGGATTTGAAGTCACAATGCCTCAGGTGGTGATGGATTTAATGGTGGTAACATGCTCAGAGCCACCCAGGTCCTGTAATATAGAGACAGTTTTCCAGATATTTAGCTTCTCTCTGCACATGCGCAGTGTACTCCATTAGGCATGTGAATAGACATGGGAGCCCTTGCACACCTAATTGGAGAAGCAAACTCTTTTTCAAATAATGTTATATTTGATTTCCCCCAAAGGACTGATGGGTGCCATGCACTCTGATGGGGTCATCCTTGAGCATCTGAGATCCTAAGGTGATGATCTGAGCCCTGGTGTGATTGTTATTTGTGAGCTAAAAAAGTTTGCTGGAATGTGTCAAGTTTAAGGAAAGCTGTTTCTTTCCAGGAGCTGTATCTCAGGAAACCCTGCGGTCAAATTGCCTCGATTATGGATCACTGACAGTATCCTGGTTCCATAAGGCACACCAAATTTCAAGGTAATATGAATAACCGTGCAGATTTTAAGGCATTTAGAATGGGCGAGTAGCATGTGCATATGCATACAGATATTAATAGATAAATTATTTGATGAAATAGTATTATTATTTACATATTAACCCAGCAAAGAAAACAAGAGGTGATGGAGATGTTTTTTCATCTACAATTTTTTTTAAAAAAAGTTGACTTCTGAACTGTGAATAAACACTACTGGTTCAATGTGGAATGAATTAAAACAGATTAATTATAATCCCTTTCTAAATTATGTTTATTATGAAAGTAGCCACTGATCCTTTATTTGCAGAGCATGAATGTGATTAGAGCATGAATGTGATGCATTTAAAATCACATTCATCACATTATAAGAAGCTTGATCTATGAAACTAGTTATTCATTATATTTAACACTAAAGGTTATTCAGTATACTGCCAAGATTTATTTACAGTTTTTAGGTTAAAGGGATCAAATGTCATATAAACAGATACACATACAGATAGATGGTTATATACATAAATTTCTCCCTTTATGCCTCTGAGGACATGTGTTGATTATTAAAATTTCACCACATCTGATAAGGGAAGCAGCTTTTTTACTTTAAAAAACAACAACCAAAAAACATGTGCGTGTCTGTCTTCTTGCTTTGGGAGAGCCTTCTAGCGAAAGAGGTGAGTTACTGGGGTATGCATCTATGGTATTTCTGTAAAGGCTTTATTGATATGATGACATTTAGTTGCTTTGAACTGAAAACTGTAAATAAATCTCCTCAGGTTACTGAGATTACCCTGAAATAATAGATATCTTTTTCATATTAGATTGCATACCAGTAGCCATTTCTGTGAAGCCTACTGGCTTCTGGATAAAGATTGTTGATCTTCTTGTTCACGCCTTCGGCCACTTACTTCATCCTCAACTCTTTCTGCTGTTCTCACTTGATTAATTAGAAAAAGCTGCAGTTCTAGTTTCTTTAACCTGCTGGTTCCCAGCACTGGTACTACTTAAACTACTACTGTAAGTGCCTGACCACATTTTCATTACAAAACCTAATTTTAGTTAGGTTTGTAATTTGGCCTTTAAATTCATTTTGGCATATGTATATATGGAGCAATATACAGTGTATACACAGCGATCATCAAGTGACACAAATCAGCATAGCTCCATTAAAGTCAATGGAACTATGCCATTTATACCAGCTGAGGAGTTAGCTGGCTCATACAGTATATATTACACCCAAACACAATTTATTTGATGAAAAGTAATTTTACCTAGTGTTATGGTAACATAATGAAAGGACCTGTCATAATTGATTACACATAAAAGGGCAGAGTTAAGGTTGTATACCTTTTTTTAAACTTGCTCTTTCATAACAAACTCCCCCACCTAATGACTCCCTTTCATGATTCTGAATCCATGTCACAGTTTGCACATTGCAATAGAAATCCATCAATCAAGTGAAGTTGTTAGACACTATAGAAACATTTTAACCAATAGTGCAGTTGCATTAAATTGCCCAGTTGTGTTCTGGGAGTAACCACCCATTCTAACAAATTTTGCAGAAAGTATCAACAGTGCAGGAAAAACTGTAGCCCATTCCCAGTAGCTATAGCTGTCTGTTCATGTCACAAATGTTGCAGGTTCCTATAAACAGCTCTTTCTATTCCTCTATCTATTTACATCTTTCAAAATCTTTTGGTATTAAGTTACAGAACAAATATCATGGAGACCCAATTTAACTTCAAGACAAGGAAATATTTTAAATTCTGAACCTGCCCTGGGCCATATGAGATTCTTGTCATGTTACATTTCTTTAGTATTTCAGTGTGTACTATTCACAGCTGTTACAAGGTACGAAATACACTTTGTGCAGACTTTGGCACCTGTTGTAGGCCATTTGAAATAAAAACAAGTTAGTGGTTACATGATAAGATAGCTGAAAGCAAATTTTACTCACTTGAATGCCCTTGCAGTGTACTTCATTTGGCAAAACTTGATAGCCTTTCTTTTCTGCCATTATTTTCCAGGACAAACTTCTGTTTTACGGAAATAAAAAAAGCAAGCACACGGGCTGTAAAACCAGCCTATGATTCATTATTTTTTCTATTCAGCTATTTCCTTCTCTCTCATTTTTATTTTGTATTCAGTGAAGCTGTTCAATTTAGCACAGTCTCCTTTCTTTTCCCCAAAGAATAACTTGTGTTTTCATATTCTCCTGCCTGACACTTCTTCTCAAGGTCTCCTTGTGGTATCAGGGCCTTTAAACACTCACTTGCCTTTTATGACTTGACCCATAGCTAGTTTGTAACCCTATTTTGCTGTTATCGTCATCATAGACACTCTCATTCCCCTGGCTTTTGCATTGCATCTATTTTATTTCCCATAAAGCTTTTGGCAGTACAGGGATCCCTAACCCTTATACCTAACTGGGATGTTATGCTGTAGGATATGAATTGCTCATATTGAATTCAATGACAATTACTTTTATCCTGCAGTGGAAGAGTAGGGCTCCAGGGTTTGGTATGGTTGTCAGGTTTCAGGAGGGACCTAGTTTGATGTGATACCTACAGCTCAAGAATGCAAGCTGATGGCCATCTTTCTAAAGTATAAATCCAACCCTCAGCCAGTAACATCACTTATTGGTAATGAAACCAATACACTAACACAATTTTACTTTTCTTTTTTTAAAAAAAGTAAAGAATCTATTTTAAAGATTTAATTTTTAAAGAAAACTGTTCATACGTTAAATAAAACTACATCTTTTTTCAAAATCTTTCCTCATAATCTGCCTCCCTCTCACCAATCCTGCATTCAGCTTGTTTCTCTGATATCTCCTGGATGTATTGCTGCCATTCTAAAATTAGCATGGCCCAAACAGAATTCCTGGTCTTTTCTGTTACATGTTTACCTCTAGGTTTGCAAACCACCTAGGAAATCTGTGATAGAACTAGCCATTGAAACAAAATCTTCTGAGTCCCACTCCCGTGTCTACACCATAGGTTCTCACACACTGTCTATCAGCATTCCTCAACATGGAGGGTCACATGAGATGTGTGACATTTGACAATCTACATGGACCTGATCTTACTCCCATGGAATTCAGTGGATACAGGAGCAGAATCCATGCGCCCAGAGACACTGAGCACATTTCTTATGAACTAAGGGCCTACTCCTGCAAGCAGAATCAACTTAAAGGTGTGAGGAAAGGTTTGTATGCTTGGAACTTTAACAACCAGATAACAGTGTGATGAATCTGATGAAAATGAATCTGCTGTGGCTCTCTTCCTCCTGCTCATGAGGGATAGAGGTCACAAGGAGAGGGAGGATTCTGTGGCAATTGGAAGACAGTTAGTAAGGAATGAGCTATAGGGACAGGGAGTCTGGGGACTATGGGAGGAATGTGGTGGTTGGAATGTGGTGGTTGCAGACCATGTTATTTGGTACCCATCATGTGCTAGAGCCTTAGGGTCTAGCAGCAGAAGCATCTATAGTGTTCATCTGATTCGTAGTACAGTACACAGAGCACACTCCCAAGGACTGTTTCAGAACAAAGGTTGGTACGTCAGCATTCCAGAGACCCTTTCAATATATGTGATTTTGAAGATGTGCACATACGCACAGGCCCACACATGCACACACGTCTCATCTCTTGTGCTACGGGCATTTGGTCTTTGATGTCATGTCTTAATGTACTAAGGCACATGAACTGCATATAGGGTTTTAATAACATACTTTTCATGTACTATTCCTAATATAATAAAGAATGCATACATGCAGTAGTTGCTGTATATGTGCACATCTGAATAGAAACACCAGATGAATCCACCAGAATAAATACGTAGAAATTCTGAGCTGATAACTCTGGAGGTAAACCGATTTATAGCCCTTTCTTCATGTGTAAATGCATACAGTATGTATTGTTGCCATAGTTTCTGTAAAGAATTTGCCTTGCTTCTGAACTTCAGTTAACAAAGCTTTCTGGATTGCACCCAATAGTTCATAAGGCTACATGCAATCCTAATAAGACTAAAAAAAATTATTTCAAAATTTCAACTCTGCAGTATCAAACACATAATCCTTTGTGAGTGTGTACATTTTGTGTGTAGGGGACAGAGCATAGGCAATGGAAGGAGTGGGACAGAAATGGAGGAGAACACACACAGCATTCTCTTCAGACCTGCGGAGCTATGATAAATGTATAATACAACTATGGGTCCTGAGGGATTCACCAAGGTAATGTACCTGGTGGCAGGCCCAAAAAAGAGCGGTGAGGGAAAAGGTGGCTCAACAGGGGCCAGAACTAGTGCAGAGGCCTCTGTACAGATATCCTTGGTCTCCTGCAGATCTCCTTGGAATCACTATATTTAGGAGTGAACCAGTTGGCCTGTTCCTAGGATAGAAGAAACAAAATCCTCCCATTGATATAACAGTGTGGGAGAAGTTCCCCGCAAGGATCTTTGCAGAGGTTTCCTCCCTGAGCTTCCTCCTGGCATTTGTTTCTGTGGGAAGGAACGGTTTGAGAAGGAACATGGTGTGTTCTCTGCAGCATCTGTTTGCTCAGCTCTGTGTGAGTGCTGAGTTCCAGTACTCTAGTGTCACCTCACTATATTTCCTCCAATGGTGTACTGTGATGTATCCTAATTTCCTCAGACCAGTATCTACTGGCATGAGCCCTTCCCTTCTCCTGGACTGCTTTTGACTGATTTAATGTATTTATTAGTGTTTCTTACTGGTGTAATTGTTTTTATTGACTTTAAAATTGTGCATTGGCTTTCATTAGGTCCATGAGCCTAGCAAATGTGACAATTTAATTTTTTTAAATGAAGCCTTATCACCAGTTGGGGTTCCCTGAAGTCCTCCCAGCAGACATTTTTACAGGAGGAACAGCTTTGGGTGTCATACTGTTAACTATATTCAGGTACATTTGTCCAGTGGGTATCAGATTTATTTGGTAATTAAAACTAACTGATTTAACTTACCATCTAGCAAAACATAAATATATTTTATT